TCTCATCACTATTGTGGTTGAAATAGACCTGGATGCATCAAGTATGTAGGGATTCCCTCAGAGATCTCTTTCTACTCAGCTTCCCAAGAACTCAGTTTGACTCTAGACTTCATCAGTCATGTATCTTTATTTAGTGTACAGCAATGCTACACTGAGCTGATCAGATTCAAATGAGTCATGGGGCAGGGTGGATGCAGGTTATATTACAATTTCAAAGTTACACAGAAATACTCTCCCTTTATACACATTGCATCACACATTGGCTTGGTTACTTTGCAGGCCCAAGTCCCTGTGCAGCATGCTCTATCTATGCATTGTTCATGTTCTATATACTTTTCACCCTATGTCTAAATTGGACAGAATAAGTTAGTATTGTTGTTCATAGTAAATGGTTTCCTGAGTGTTCCTTCTGATCTTAGCTGACTCAGACAGTGTCTTCTAGCTGACTGACCCATTTACTTATTAGCACAAACATTCCATTTTCAGCCTACTGACCTAGTCACCTCTCTAATCCTGTCTTCCAAGAAATGTGGCCTCCCCCATGTTTAGTCATGTCAAGCCAGACCTACAAAGTGAAGCCTGCAAAGATATCTTGGCCAAGAGCTGACCCTCGTTTATTATGGCACTAAAACGGATCTCCATGTTCCTGTTTGCTGGATGGTCTTGGCTGGCTCAAGGAGAGCTTCATTAATTGGTAGTTGCTATCCATGCTGAAGTAGAAGCATGCAGTATGTCCAAGAGCTTATGATGGGAACTTGTCCCAGGAGAATCTGAAATGTGTCCGCAACCCATTTCATCGGGTCCTAGAACTGCCAAAAGTCATCAGCTAATGATGGTGCCAGTGGCGGCAGCAGCATCTTACTCCTCAAAATGTCTCCTCTATCGATTCAGAGTGGGGAGAAGGGATGGAAAGTACCAGAGAACTAGGTTTTCTATGTTCCTTATGAGAATAGTGTGGCCTGGTGAAACTGCTGGAGGTACACTGCCCATGGGTTCTAATAAGGCCAGTGAGAAGGACCATAAGGCAAGGGGCAGGTAGCCATCATTCATTGACCCAAGTATTGATAGGCACAGGTCTTTTATCTGCAGAGGAGAACAACATCTCTTCGAATAAGCTGGAGAGTTTTGAACAGAAAGCTCTGAGTCAGAATGCCCTCCCACATATTGTAAAGGAGGTGACAATACCTCTTCTTGAACGGTAGATGTTGAGAAGTAGTGAGTCTCAATTGAACATGTGCGGTTGGTGATCAAGTACCAAGAGGTGTCTGGAAGTCGCAATGTGGGGAGACTCAGGCTCATTAGGTACCATGAGGTCCATGGGTAGCAGGTGAAGCCTCCCCTTGCGGAGGCTAGCCCTGTGCTCCACCTCTTACAGCAGAGGCTATGTCTCCACTTGCTGCTCTAAGCCCCTCCCTCCATGGCCCCAGCAGGGGGAGGGGACTCAGAGCTTGACCCCTCCCCCCAATGGCCCCGGGCGGAGGGGTAGGGTTAGATGATGCTGTCTGAGGTGCTGCTGATGGTACCGCGGATTCTAACGAGGCTACTCTATTTACCATCATGGGTACTGATGGTAGCTGTAGTAGTAGTCTTCAGTATCATGCTCTTTACTGCCAAGACATGGGACTTAGATGAAGTCTTAAAGTGCATCACGTTAGCCAAAGTACTCAGAGCCTCATAACACTCCTCTCTGGGCCTGAGGTCTCCAGTGACCAAACCTTCTTTGAGGAGGAATTCTATTCTGTTCTTCTTATCCCCCTCCTTAGTGTTTGAATGGGAAACCCTCAGAAACAAATTCAGTAGGTCTCAGTCAGTACTCAAAGCATGCTGGAATCCAGGGTTTTGATGCTGCCTTCACCTTGGAAGCTCTCAGTGACTTCTCTCGATGTAGACTGGGCACTAACAGAACTAATGGGTCCTGGTTTGGGGGTAAGGGGGATTCTTTGTACCTGGGTCTGAAGCTGGACTTAAGGCTTGCTCCATCATTAGTAGTCTACACTTCATTTTCCTGTTTTTATGGCACCTTCCCTTAAAAGAAGTGTAAATCTTGCACTTGCTGGGGATATGAGAGTCTCTCAAGCAACAAATACACTGAAAATGCCAGTTGCTGATGAGAATCACTTCTTGACAGAATAGGCACATTTTAAAATTCAGGGAGCCCGGCATCCCATTTGACACATTGATAAGGGGTTAAATAGTTTTTATTTTTCTAAGAAAACAGGAACAACAGTTCCAATAACTATACAAGTTGTAAGAATCCTATAAACTAACACTATATAGTATATTCTAACTCTAAATAAAAAAACCAGGCACACACTAAACTCCATCTCTGGGCAAAGGAAGTAAGGGCAGTTCGCTTGCACAGCCCTATACAGCCTCAGTATGGGGCATGGAGATGTGTCGGGTGCATGCATGGTTCTGAATGGGCACCACTACCAAAAATCTCTGATCAAAGGTGCAGGGTGCATGCACACCTGAAGTGGAGCACTCACAGGAGCATTGCTCAAAGAAGAATTTACACATTCATGGAAAATGTATAAAATGATCATGCAGAAAAGGTATGGTCTTAAAGTTTCTCAATAGTTGTCAATTGGGCTGTTGGTACCACTACATTTGCGTATCCCTTTTGTAGGGTGTCACCACCTGCCCCTTTCTGGGCACACAGTTTGTTCTATGTTTGTGCCTTTGGGTCACTAGTACAGCCCTTTTACCCCTCTGAGCTTCCTCTTAGGACATTTGCTTATAAATATTAGGCAATCCTGGCTGCTTTTCCTAACTCTGTCTCAAGGGCCCTGCAGCTCTCTTCAAAACCTCGCCCACTGATTACTAAACTTTTGTTTAACTAGATTACTAAAAGTAATAGTACATAATAGCTTTTAGTAACCCCCTACTACTTATTCCACAAGGAAAAGCCTGATTTATAAGAGACTAACAGTGATTCTGTTCTTGATCACAGTCTAGGTCCCCAGTCCTGTCTCTGATCATATTCTCTCCCATCAAGAGCCAAACAATGATCCTTCAAATTCAACCCCCCCAAAATTCTAAAAAGGCAATCTGACTGGAGCTTCCATCCAGGAGTGCAAGCCTCTAGGTACCCAGCAGCTTCTGTCCTTTTTGATTTTCATCCCACAACACACCCCATTATATGTTTTTGCTTAACACTTATCCTATAACATCTCATGTACAAAATCAAATTAAAATAGTCCCTTATCTACACAAGGATATTGTAGTCACCAAGCATATTGGCAGCTGGGTTTGTGAGGACTTAACAGTTTAATCAATAGGCATCAGCTTTTGCAAGCATGGTAGATAACTTTGGAAAAACTGTCGAGACTAAACCTGTCCTCTATTAACACGGACATCAAATAAATAGGGAAATGAATGACAGAACTTAAAAGCTAAGTTTTAAACTGGGTAGGTAAATTGCCTAGCCCAGGACCTCTGTTGCACTTTCTCTCAAAAGCTATGTATTTCACACTTCTGTACTGGTAAGTGCATCCAAGGAATCCCAATTGGTAGTTGAGAAGATGGTGGAGAGAAGAAAGATTTAAGTCTGCTAGGCTCTGGTGAACTCTGAAGTGAAGAGTATACCAAAAAGATGATCAATGCTGTAAGCATAAGAGAACCAGGTTGGTAATAGAAAGTTTTAGGTTTGGAGAAGACATGTTAAACTAGGAGTTTGGGGGAAATAGGTAAAGGTGACTACAGTTCCAAAGAGAAGTCAAAAGGAAGCATTCAGTTTCCAAGGATTTTACCAAGAAAATTATTCAGTTTAAAATCTGATGTTATGTGCCTATTCTGCTTATGCTTTACCCTGACTCTGCTCATGGCTGTTTCTAAAGCCCAGTGAGGTGGAGCCAAGTCAGAGGAGTCCATTGGAGCACAGCACATTATACAGGTTTGGTTTTGGAGTAACTGATTTGACTAACAGTTTGCAAATGAACCGAGGATTTTCTGTTATAACCAAATTAATATTTTCTCAGTCAGATAACAAAAGGATTAAAACAGATTTACAAGTTTCCAAGGATGTTTAGGAAAGTAAATATTCAAGGATTAATAATGTCCCTGCCTCCCTGGCCACCCTGGACTGGGAGTGTCCGCCTGTCTGCTGTGGAGTGGCAGGGGCTGATGTCAGGGTGTCCCCCCGAACCTGTGCACCCAATTTCCATTGACCTGGGATGACAGGACAGGGGGAATCTGTGTCTCTGCTGCTGCCTCTCTGGGTCCAGAGCTGCTGGCGGCTGCTTGTATCTGAACACAAGCCTTCAGGATCCTGACCTTGAGTGTTTTTTTAAAGAGACAGCACACTCATATCCTCAGGCACACACACACTCCCCTCAACACAACACACACAACACCAGGGCTCCCTGCATTCAGGACACTTCCCTACCTGGGCTGTGCTGAGGCATCAGCAGCTGCTGCTCTCCTGCCCTCTCCTTACGCAGCTCTGGAGGTGCATGGGGCGGAGGAGCAGCAGTCCAGTGGGGGAGCGAGCAGCAATGCCAGCTGCTTTGTGCATCCAGGTGGGTCAGTTTCCCTACATGGGTGCAGGAGGGGATGCGGGGGTAGGGGCTCAGGAAGGAGGTGCAGGGGGTAGGAGTGAAGGGGGCACAGTGCAGGGGTTAGGGGCACAGGAGGGGAGTGCAGGGGTCGGGGTGTAGGGGGCACAGTGCAAGGGTTAGAGGCTCAGGAGGAAGGTGCAGGGGGTAAGAGGGAAGGGGACATAGTGGAGGGGTTGGGGCACAGGAGGGAGGTGCAGGGATTAGGGGTGAAGGTGGCACAGTGCAGGGGTTGGGGGGAAGGGAGGGTGGGGAGCCCATGGGGGACCAGGGACAATGGGGGCATCACGCCCATATGGCCCAGGGGCACCAAAATGCAAGTTCGCCCAGGGTGCCATTTTCCCTAAGGCTGGCCCTGAATGTGTTTAATACCTTAATTGTATGATCTTATTAAAATTACACACAGTGAAATTCATCTAACAGAATTTTCTTCTGCCTTTGTAGCGGCAATTACCCAAGAAAACCTTATAAAGCGGGATCATCATGTAGTCTGTGCTCAAAAGAGGACACCTGTGTGGACAATCTATGTAGTAAGTAAAAGTGAATTTATTAGGCACTAGGAAGAGGCAAACAATATCCACCCTACTGATAAACTGTTCCTTATATTCTTTATGCCATCTCTCATAGCACTCTCTCAGGTCGCAATTCAACAAAGCACTTTAGTGAATACTCAAGTTCAATCCTATTCAGTAAAGCACCTAATCAAGTACTTCATGTCTTACTGAATTAGCATCTCAATGAGGATTGCAAACTACCAGTCTGGTCATAGCCAGTTATTACTGCCATTGGGACAAGATGCTACCAATCACTGACTTTCTGTTAAAGGCTAATAAGCAATTTAAAATCACTGATCCAAGAAAGTAAAGTTCCAGCTAAGCACTCCTTGGGCAGCTTACATTTACTTGTTTGCTAGTATCCAGTCACTTTTGGGAAACCATTGTGATTAATTCATGCCAGAGATGTAAAAGAGTAACCTATCCCTTCAGATGTGCAGCCTGCAGACAATTAATCTATAGGAGTGGGCCATCCTTCACAGGGCTGTTTCATATAAATTTAATATCCTTGTAGGTGGGAAAATACCAAAGAAACCCAACACAGTAGCAGTTAACTTCAAAAGCGGGAAACGATATAAAAATATGGAGGCTAGTTAAACAGAAATTAAAAGAAACTGTCACTAGTGTGAACTGCCCACAAGCTGCATGGAAATCTTTTAAAAACCACCATAATAGAGGCTCAAATTAAATGTATACCCCAAATAAAAACAAACAAACAAATAAATAAATAAATAACACAGCACAGTAAGAGGGCCAAACATTTTTTTAAAAAAATGCAACCATGACTAAACAAAGTAAAAGAGGCGGTTAGAGGCAAAAATATATTTTTAAACTTGGAAGTCAAATCCTACAGAGAAAGAAAGGAGCATAAATTCTTGCAAGTCAAGTATAATTAGGTAGGCCAAAAAATTTGAAGAGCAACTAGCAAAAGCCACAAACTAACAGCAAAATTTTTTGTTTAAGTACGTCAGAAGCAGGAACCCTGGTATCCAATCTATTTAAGGCACTCAGATTCTATGGTGATGAGTGCAGTATAGAAACCTACATAGAATAGATCTTGTTTCAAAAAGTTCTTACAGATATGTAAAAGAATGCCAATGCTAAAGGCCACAAACTAGAGGTTTCCAGATGCTGCATAGATGTCAAAATAAAGTGAGGACTTGAGCTTGGCAAACTCTTTGGCTACATTTTCTTTTTCTACCAAGAAAATGCAGATTTGGGTCAACCAAAGTGTTTTGTGAATTTGTGTTGATTTCAGTAGTTCTTTTGGCCAAAACAAAGAAATTTTGAAAATTGTTAAAATAAACTATTTTGACATTAATGAAACAGCTTGTTTTGATTTTCTAGGCTAGACTCAAAAGGAATTTAAGTACAAAAATCATTGGTGGAGGGGGTGATGCCCCCCAACTGTCCAGGGGGCAAAAGGAGCAGTTTGTCCCAGTCCTCTGTTCGAGAAAGTCTCCAAGCCCTTTGAGTATGTGGTGTTGCGATCTGGTGCACAGATTTGCAGTGCCAGTCAGTGCTAAACTTCAGGGATGCTTGTGACCCTGTGTGCCAGGTCTCAGTGCCTGGTGTGGGGAGCCAGGCTTGTCCCTGTGGGACAGGAGCCATTGCTGCAGGGTGAATGCAGGGGCAGGCTCACTTTCCAACCCTCCACCCCACCATGAGACCTCCCCTCAGGGGTTTTTCACCCTTGAAAGGGGGTGACCCTCAGTTTCAGATTTTGTCCCAGACCCCTACAAAGCTCTATGTAGTCCTGCCACCACTCTTCCCCGAGTAACCTTTAGCACAGTGGTTAGGGCACTCCTCTTGGGAAGCCTAGATTTGAGTCCCTGCACTGGAGCAGGGATTTGAACCCAGGTCTCTTTTGCCCCCCCTCCAGTGAGTGCTCCAGTCACCACCCAAGTTCTGGTCCAGGGGTCGGTAACCTTCGGCACATGGCCCATCAGGGTAATACGTTGGTGGGCAGCAAGACATTTTGTTTATGTTGACCGTCTGCAGGTACGGAACCCCGCAGCTCACAATGGCCGCGGTTCACCGTTCCCGGCCAATGGGAGGTACAGACGGAAATCAAGACTGGGCACTAGGAACGGCCTGGGTTCTCTTTGACAATTGCTTATTGCCTTGCTCAAGTTACATGTAGATTCATAGTCTAAGGCCAGAAGGAACCATTGTAATCATCTAATATTACCTTCTGAATAGCACAGGCCGGAGAACTTCCCCAACATAATTTCTAGAGCATATCTTTTAGGAAAACCCCCCCTTCTTGATTTGAAAATTGTCCATGAGGGAGAATCCATCCAATGATTAATTACTATCACTTAGCCAGTTTTTAATCCATTTAATATGCATCATGTTAATTTTATATAGTTCTAGGGTTTTTAATCAAACTGTCATGTGGTACCAAGTCAAATGCTTTACAGAAGTCTAAGTATATTACATCAAACCATTATTATTATTTAGTATATTATTATCTTTATCAACCAACCGTGTAATCTCATAAAAAAAATAAAGTTAGTTTAACAGGATCTATTTGCCATAAACCATGTTCTTTTGTATTAATTACATTACCCTCCTTGAGTTCTTTATTAATCAAGTACCATATCAGCTGCTCCATTATTTTGCCAGGATCAGTGTCAGGCTCACAGGCCTATAATTACCCAGGTCATCTTGTTTACTCTTTTTTTAAAATTGGCACAACATTAGCTTTCTTCTAGTCTTCTGGAACTTCCCCAGTGTTCCAAGACTTATTGAAAATAAACATGAATGGTTCAGCACACTCCTTTATCAGCTCTTTTAAAACTCTTGGATGCAAGTTATCTGGACTTGCTGATTTAAAAATGTCTGACTTTAGTAGCTTCTGTTTAACATCCTCCAAAGACACTAGTGGAATGGAAAGACAGTCTCATTATATGGTGATAACACTATCTTTTTTCCCCAAATACAGAACAAATTCATTGAACACTTCTGCTATTTCTTCATTATTATTGATAATTCTACCAATACTATTGTCAGGATTATTTTTGTTCCTAATATATTATTGTCCTTAACTGTGCTGTCCAGAGTGTTCTCTGTACATCTCTTGGGTTCCCTTAACTTTCTACAATTCCTAACTTCTGATTTATATTAATTATTATTAACTTCCCCATTCTTCTGTTTGTTATATATTTATTGTTTACAGCTGCCTTCACTTCCCCTCTAAGCCAGGGTTGGGTTTTTTCAACCAGCACAGCCTTCTTCCTCAGTTGTGGCACTGGGGCATCTAGTAAGGTGTTCTTAAATGGTTCCCAAATATCAATCACATTTTTCTGATTAAATTCTTTCTCTGTTGAGGTGGCTCATAATTGTTTTCAGCTTTGTGAAAGTAGATCTATTAAAGCACCAAGTGTGTATATATATATATTACTGGTCTGGACTTTATTCTGCATGCACATTGTAAATGTGATCAAGCGATGGTCACTTGTACCTAAGCTGCCACTAACTTTTAGTTCTTCAATCCGTTCCTCTTTATCTGTTAGGATAATATCTAATATAGAATTCTCTTGTGTTTGTTGCAACATTTTTTGAGTTAGAAAATTGTCATCTATAATGTTTAGAAATTTCAAGGATGCTCTAGTACTGGCAGCATGAGACCTCCAGCATATATCACTCAAATTGAAATTCCCCCATGATCACCCAATATTTTGTTGTTTTTTGCCTCCCTACACATTAGAAGTGGTGCATAAGGAGGTAGTTATCTTGTTCCCTAGTGTGATTTGGTGGTATGTAGCAGACACCAACTAGTATCTCATCTTGTGCTTTATCTGTTAAGACATTGATCCATGATTCAAAATCATTTTCTTCCAAGCTATCAGTGACTCAAACAGGTAATGCCACTTTTGACAAAGTGCCACTCCCCCTCCCCTTTTGCCATTTGATCCTTCATAAATAGGTTATAACCATTGATTTTTAACATTCCAATTGTTGACTCATTCTACCAGGTTTCAGTAATACCAACTAGATCAAGTGAAAAACACTATCTTCTCTCTTTTTTTTTTACCCTCCCCTTTTGCTATTAATTTAACCCTCTCCTAACTACTCTAGTCAGCCTATCCCCAAGGAGATTGATCTCCCTTCTACTGAGGTGGAAGCCATCCAACCTATATAACCCCTTCTGCCCATAGAAGATGGATCAGTGCTCCATAAAACCCAAGCCCTCCATGTTACATCATTTATTTAGGCAGTGATTCACTTCCAAAATCTTATGCCTTCTGTCTTCCTTTGCTTAGAAAGATCTCAGATTAGCTTTATTTTCAGAATCAGTCACTAATGCTTTGTACCTGAATTTTTAAGTGGCCAGCTTGAGACACATGAGCTACAGTTCTTCTTTGAGTGCTTGTTCATGTCAATGCCAGTCAAGTGTGTGCACCCGCACGTGCACAGTAGCCGGATAATTTTTCCATTAGCAGCATCCGTGGGTCAGCCTGGGCTCCCCCTGGAGTCACACCTTTATGACGCTCAATATAGAGCCCTGCTGATCTGCCACCCCCTCAGTTTCTTCTTACCGCCAGTGATGGTAGCTGGAACTTCCCCTTGCTCTTGCTTTGGCAAGTGGCTTAGCAGTTCTTTACTTACGCTATAGTTAGTTTCCAGTTTAGTTAGTTAATTAGTATAGTCTAGTAGTTCTTCTGTAAGTTTCAGTTACGGGAGGGTTCCCCCCGTTTCACCCCCATTTGTTACTGGAGCATGCTGCGATCCCTGGGCTTTAAGACCTGCCAGCTCTGTGCAAAGCGCATGCCCAAAAGTGACCCCCACACCTCTTGTTTACGGTGCCTGAGTGAGGGTCAGCAAAAAGACCGCTGCAAGATTTGTTGGGAATTCTGACCAAGAACCCTTAAAGAGAGGGAGCAATGTCTCAAAATTCTCCACATGGAGGCAGCTCTCCCACCTCAGTCGGACCCAGGTGCCGGGGATCCTGCTCCCAGCATGTCATCTTT